AGTCATGTGGACACAAGAAACGGGGACCGGGCGGGGGGGTGGTAAAAGCTGGGTTTTGACTCATTAGCTCTATGAATGTGATGATAAATTCAAAGGTCAAGTTCTAATTCACGCCCTCACTAAAACACTAATGACTGAAAAAGTGATTCACCCTCCATGAAACATATCCGTCGTTACCTGTCCTTTTTAAGGCTTAACAAAAATTCTTTCCTCATGTCACAGCAGAGTTTTCTTTTTCTTGATCAAGAATTTTGGAGTTAGAAGATATATTGTGGAATCTCTAAAGATTTCAGCGTGTCCATTGACCATTGAACCAATAAGAATTGATTGACAGGTTTCTGACAATTAAGTTTCTGCTTGACATTCCTTCTCATCCATTTTGAAAGCTTCCTTTTTATGATACTCTTATTGTTTGTGGATATCCATGGACCAGGGATAAGAATGGCCTACCCAAAAATGCATGAAAAAGTAATTTGCCCACTTCATGAAAAAAGAGACCATGCTATGTCGTTCATGCATGATCAGCCCTAAAGAAGTTCATTTGTTCTTGTTGATGAACCATGTATGAGATGCACATAAAACCTGAATGCATGATGGGTTTATAGATTTTTCCATGACTAATGAATTAATTCCATGAAAATTTGTCTGTGAGTGCGTGGCTAGTTCTCGGCCTCAAACTTCTCTGTGAAGGATTCCTGCAGAGTTTGAGAGATGGTGAAGAACAAAGGGAGGAAGATGCAGCCTATGCCTAATCAAGATTCGGCTTTTCTTTTTGAGGCCAAGTAGGTACTTCTCTTTTTCGGTTCTTTTTATCAATTAGAGAGTTGATGCCACAACAGCATTGGCTTTCCTATCTTCCCAAGGATCATTTTCCATGTATTTGCTAGGGATAAGTTCAAAAGATTCCTTAACTCCCTTGCAGTTGACAGTGTAGGGTGTTTGGGTAGTTTCGTAATCCAACACTGTTGAAGTCCTCAGCTGTTTCTACACCTGAAAATCTCGAGGATGTTTTCTCGAGGAAAACACTCCGACTCTCAAGTCAGCAATACTCAATGTTTTAGAGTGAGATGCTCTCAAAGAGTAATTGCATAGAGAGAAGCATAGAGATTAATTACCTTCTTCGGAGGTAGTTGGGGGTATTTATAACCCCAAGTGCTGACATGCATCTGTACATTTAAGCTTCTCATTTGCCCACGTTTTACTGCCCACGTGGGCATGTCTCATCACTTTGGGCCAGTGGATATGTGATTGGGCCTATAGCATGTGGCCCAAAACAGGTGTTGGGCCTAATCCCAACATTACTCCCCCCTTGGTGTTCGGTTGACGAACTGGGTTTGACATTGGTGATGAGGAGTGCCGTTCTATGATTCGCGGCCAACCTCACACATGGCCGACCTGAGCGGCTTGAAGACACCGTAACTGGTCGGATGTGCAAGTGTATGCCGGCTTCTTGCCGAGCAGGCATGAGGAGCTAATGTTAAAACCAGTTGAGCTCGGTGCTAATCAGCGAGTCGAGCAGGTGCATAAGGGCGACCTTGCATAATGAATTATCTGCAGCAGAGCAGAAGCGAGTAGATAGTGAACGAGATAAACCAACCAACCCAGACGGGCTGAAATGGGCAACCTCCCTCGCTACTTTAATATAGATCTCTGGGATGCAGAGCAAATCTGAGGAAAATGGTTACAATTTAATGTTCGATGTTCAAAACCAAGGTGGACCTCAGATTTGTTACGACCTACCTCTAAAAACTTGTCGAGTTGGGAATCTCTGAAGAGATCTCGGATTAGAAACGAGTTGATTTCTCGAGATTTTCAAATTTTGAATTATGACAGATCTTTGAGGAGATCCCGGATTTGTAGCGAGCTGATGAGATTATGTACGATCTGATTCTTGAGATTTTTCCAAATTTTGAATTATGGCAAATCTCTAAGGAGATTTGCTCAGGGCATTTGGTATTCTTCTACCGTTGGCAGACATCCTTTTGCCTCCCTGCAATAAATGCTGGCTCAACATTTGAGGGGACGTGATAGCTGCAGACGGCGCATTTTGGGTTCTTAACCATAAATGGTTGCCACGTGTACGCATTTAACTTGGGGGCCGTTAACACACGTACGGTGTTTACGGAGCACCATCTGAATGCCCAAAACAAAACAAACACTTTGTTATTTTTTAGTTTCATTGTACAACACATTCATACGTTTTTCAGAGAAGGTTGCAGAGACTCTCTCGACCATTTTCCAAAGCTTCCAGCGAAAGCACATCCAACTTTAACTACTCAGGTAAAAATGGCTTCTTTCCACGATGCACAAGAGTTCCAGGGTAACCAAGGTGAAGACGAAGAGGTTGATGTGATCTCAACGGAGCCCATTGTCATGATAGTGCCGCCGGAGTTACAAGACTCGCTTAGAATCGCCACGCCAGAGAGTAGCACTAGTTCGAGCGCAGGTAGTGGTTCTGAGGACCACCGGCCTTCAACCTCTAGCGATTCACGCACGGAAGAGACACCCAGTGAAACAGAGGGTGCTGAAGAGGCTGGTTGCAGTGTGCCGACGATGAGTACAGCAGCTAAGGTGGTTTTGTTTGAGGGGTGGGAGAGCAAGGTTCTTAGTGTAAGGCTGGACAACCTTCGCAAGGCCCCCAAAACCTTACCGGCTGGCTTTAAATTCAAGGCGGCACTATATCACGAAGTTGCAGATGGTGCGGCCACAGTAAAGGGATATAAGAAGTTGGAGGAGATGGTGAGGCGATATCAAATCCCTCGAACCATCCTGATCCGAGCTAGAACACCAAACGAACGGGTGTGCTCAGTATCGCGGATGGGTTGGGTGCTAGTATACGTAGACCATTTTGACGCCGGTCTATGTTTTCCTCTTCCAGGACTAATTTTTGATGTCCTGGCAGAGTACGAGCTGGTCCTTTCGCAACTTACTCCCAATAGCATAAAGTTCATCATAGGCTTTATGCTGTTGTGCGAAAGGTTGGGGATGCCTGCAAAGGCAGTGGTCTTCAAGTCGCTCTTCCTGTGCCGTCTCTGTCCCTCCACCAGCGGTACGAGATGGTATTACATCTCTGGGAGAGAGAAGATGATGATATTCACCAACATCAGAAATAAGGTGGCGAGGTGGAAGAGACAGTTCGTTTTCATCCGTGATACACGAACTGAGAGGATCAATAATGAGCTCACCGCCCGTCTGTCGGAGTGGTGTACACCTAACACGTACATGAACTACCCATAGCTGACAAGTGGTGATGTCGACCTGAAGAACCGGCTGCTTGATTACGTGAAGGCGAGGGGTTTGGTGGATCTAGAAGCCTTGGTTACCCCAGATCAGATCGCACTTCTTGGGTTTGTCGATGTGGCAAACCTTAACGGGGAAGGTATATTCCTCTAACATAGCAGGATTTCTAGCCGACCTGAATCTTATGCTTTTATTTGTACAGGAGAAATGAGCAACATCTTGGAGAGGCAACGTTAGAGAGCACAAGGCTCAAGGGGCCGGGGAGCTGGATCCAGTTCCCAGCGTCAATCCCGCTTTGACGAGCGGCCGCCCGCTGCACCTGGGCACAGCTCACAGCACTGAAGTTCCAGCTCGGCACAAAGACCACGTGCCGAGCAGAGAGTAGAGCCTGCGCCATCGAGCTCGAGAAGGCGCACGCGGAAGGACTCAGACGCAGAGGATGACGTCCCCCTCATCCGGTGGAGGACGAGTATGGGGAACTAGCCCACTCTAACTGCTGTTGTGCGACCTGCCAGCGTGCCTCAAGCGTCAGCTCGTGAGGTTGCCGAGCCAGCTCGTGAGGTTGCCGAGCCAGCTCGTGAGGTTGCCGAGCCAGCACCTGCCTCGTCGTCTGTAGCGGGGCCACGAATTGCATACCCGAACGGCTTTAGCTACGCGAACGGACTACCAGGCTGTGATGCTGCAGGGTATGCAAAGCTTCGTGCCTCCTGCAAATCGACAACGTGCGAAGAGGCACGTTCAGCAGCATGAAGGACATGCTGCTCTAATAAAGCTGATGGATGTAAGTATATTAACCGAGCTTATTGTTGTGTCTTATTATTTTGTCTTAGAAACTGATGATTGTATGTCTATGACAGGCGTTCAGCTACACCATCGCACTCTTTGAGTGTGAGCAAGGAGCAAGGGCGTAGAACAACGAGCTCTAACAGAGCTGCAAACAACTGGCCTCTGAAAAAGCCAGTTTGGTTGACGAGGTCAGTCGTTTGCTAAGCTCGGAGATGGCAAACCAAGTGGCGTCTGCTGAAAGCCGAGCTAATGAGCTGGCCCGTAAGGTCAGCGAGCTGAGGGAGGAGCTTGAGAGGGCTCAGGCCGAGAAAGAGAGCGGCATTCAAGCTGCAAAGGAGGAGGCCAGCCGTGCAGAGGACCGAGCTAAGAAGGCAGAATCTAATTGTGAGAAGACTCTGCACGAGCTGAGCGCCCTGAGAGAGAGGGTCTCACAAGCTGATTAGCACGTCGCCCGGGCTGAGGCATCCTTGGAGGCGACCAAAAGGCTCCATCAATGCAACGTCTGCTTTGCCCACACACAAGGGGCTAAATGGCTGGTGGGAGCAGAGATGTTCCAGGACGCCATCGCAGTTGCCTCTGCCAACACAACCACGGACATTTTCAACGAGGTTCATGGAAAGGTGCTGCGAATCCGGGCTGACTTTCCCATCGGCGAGCTGGCCTTCTTCGAGGGTGAGGAGATTGACGAAGAAGGGAAGAGCCTCGCCTAGCTCGCCGACACCAGGGTGAAGCTAAAGTAGGAGCTCAACAAAGAGGGGCTACTCGTGTGGCCCCCTTCTGTCGTTGAAAAGGGAGAGGACACATAGGGGTTGCCGAGCTTCAATGCTTAGGTGGCAAACACCCATGATGTGCCTGCTGAACCTTCCAGCACTCCCCCCTCTGCTTAGCCTCAAACCAGACCAGCCTTTGCTCCTACTCTCTCTCCTCCAAATCGGTCATCTCCAGCTTGATCTGCTGCTGCGCCCAACGACGCATCCATCCCCGTCGACCTGACGGATGATTAGCTTAGGATTTTTATTTTCTTTCTTTCTTTTGTATTGTTTTTGCATTTTCGTGTAAATCAATGAACTCATTCATAAAATGTACTTCACATGTAAAAATTCATTGATTAAATACAAATTCGAATCCTTTCTTTTGAAATTTTTGTATTGAATTTTCTGTAAATCGCCATTTACAAATGATCAGTAACGACCTGAACACTAATGACATACATTTTAACTGTAAAACTTTCTAAGATTATGTATGTTCCAAATGAATGGCAATGGACGACCTTGTAAATCTGCCAATTGGTAAGACCTAGGTTGTTGAATAGAAATAACCATATAAGGTCCTTCCCAATTAGGAGCTAGTTTGCCCATGTGTGAATAAACATTGGTTAAACCAGCCTTGCGTAGAACCAGATCACCGACTTGAAATTGACGAGCTCGAACTCTTTTATTATAAAATTTTGCAACGCAGCTCTGATGCGTCATGTTTCTTATTCGAGACATCTCCTTGACCTCTTCCACAAGGTCTAGGTTCTCTCTCAAAAGCTGCTCATTGTTAGGATTGTTGTGCCGACCTGCTCTTTCATATGGCAATCCGACCTCTACTGGGATGACGGCCTCAGCTCCATAAGCAAGGCTGAATGGGGTTTCGCCTGTGGCCGAGCTGAGTGTAATGCGACATGACCAAAGCACTTTACTGAGCTCGTCAACCCAATTAGAATGTGCAGCCAAACACGCGTCTTGAGGCCTCGCAGGACGATTTTATTGACGGACTCGGCTTGTCCATTGGACTGTGGAGTATACACAGACGTCAAGGTGAGCTCAATGCCATAGTCGTTATAGAACAACGTCAATGCGGCGGCTCGAAACTGGGGACCATTGTCAACGATGATCCATTTAGGTATACCAAACTTACACAATATTGAATTGAACAAGAATTCTTCTATTTTCTTTTCTGTTGTCGTGGACAATGGTTTAGCTTCTATCCATTTGGTGAAGTAATCGACCACGACAACAAGATAAGTGTAACCTCCTTTGCCTTTGACAAAAGGGCCGAGCAGGTCGACCCCTCATTGAGCGAAAGGCTAAGGAGATGAGAGTGATGAGAGCATTTCTCCTACTTCAACAAAGATACTTAGGCTCAGTTTATAGACGAAGATGAAGTTCGCACGAACTTTAGAACGAGCTTAGATACCTAGCATGTGTATATCATCAGCATTGAACTGGCAGGTCGGGCACTTTTTGACATAGTTCTGTGCGTCCTCAACCATAGTAGGCTAGTAATAACCGTGCCTCAAGAGTTTCCGAGCTAAAGTCCTGCCACCGATGTGCGTGCCACATACTCCTTCATGAACTTCTCTCACAACGTATTCAGCTTCATAAGGGGTAAGGCAGCGTAATAGGGGCATTGAGGCTGCTCGTTTGTATAGCTAGTTATCTAATAAAGTGAAATGTGTTGCCCTGTGTTTAATCAACTTTGCAGCGAACGGATCTTCAGGTAGCTCGCTACTTTGCAGATAATTTATGAGCGGGGTAGTCCAGCTCGGTGAAGAGGGATCTGTGCTGAGCAGCTGACACTCGACTGTGACATCGGTGTAGCTCAAGGCGTCAAGTACCTCCACAATTGTTGACCTATAGGGGTTAAGGTGCTGCGAGGAGGCCAACTTTGACAGCTCGTTCGCTCGGTGGTTATCTGCTCTTGGTATTTTGTCGATTTGGAAAGAGATAAATCTTGACTTCAATCAGTTGACCACCGAAGCATAACGACCAAGCTGGGGATCCCTAATTTCACAGCCGCCATTCACCTAGCCTACAACGAGTTGAAAGTCACTAAAAATCTGAATGCTCTGTACCTTCAGCTCGGACGCCAACTTCAATCCATAAATGAGGGCTTCATATTCTGCAGCATTGTTAGTTGTCTGAAACTTAAACCTCAGTGCATGCTTGGATTAAAGCCGTCTGAGCCCATTAACATAGCCCTAGCACTCGATCCTTCAATATTAGCAGTTCCATCAACATTCAAAACCCATATTGGGTGCTCGAGTGCCTTTTCTTCCACAATCGCCGAGATGCACTCCACTAGGAAGTCTGCAACGGCCTGACCTTTTATGGTTGTTCGCGACTGAAATTTGAGATCGTACTCACTTAGCTCGACACTCCACCCGATAAGCCGACCAGAGAGTTTTGGTTTCTACAGTATTTTCCTCAATGGCAAATCTGTATAGACAACAATTTGATGTGATTGGAAATAAGCTCTCAACTTACGAAATTAGGGCAAAAGCAGCCTTTTCTGCTAGTGGGTAGTTCTGCTCGGCGCCTTGTAAAACCTTACTCACATAGCAGATAGGCTTCTGATTCTTATTCTCTTCCCTAAGCAAAACTGATCTTACTACCTCTTCTGTAACCCCCAGGTACAAGTATAAACTCTCCCCTCCCATAGGCTTGGACAGCAAGGGTGCTGATGCCAGATATTGTTTGAGCTCGTCAAACGCCCGTTAACACTCATCGATCCATTGAAAGTTCTTGGGCTCTCACAGGGCTTTGAAGAATGGGAGGCATCTTTCCGCCGACCTAGCTATGAACCTGTGCAACACGGCTACACGACCTGTCAGACGCTGCACATCCTTTACAGTCTTGGGAGGCTCCATCTGCTGAATGGTCAGAACCTTCTCTGGGTTCACTTCAATTCCTTTTTTGGATACCACGTACCTTAGGAATTTTCCTGATTCTACAGCGAACGTGCACTTCAGGGGATTCAGCTTCATCTAAGCTCGGCGCAAATTCTGAAACGTCTCACTCAGGTCGTCTATGTGATCTTCAGCTCATACACTGGTGACTATCATGTCATCCACATATACTTCTATGTTCCTTCCGATCTGAAGCATAAAGATGATTTGCACCAGCTTCTGATATGTAGCACCAGCATTTTTTAAGCTAAATGGCATCATGACATAGCAGTAGATTGCGTTACCAACATAAAAAGCTGTTTTCTCCTGGTCATCCAGCAGTAACTGAACTTGGTGATACCCCGAGCTAGCGTCGAGGAAGCTCATCCGCTCATGCCCGGCTACACGCTCTACTAGCTTCTCCATATTTGGCAAAGGATGAGGGTCTTTTGGACATGCCTCATTTAAGTTGGTGAAGTCAATACACATCCTCCACTTGCCATTTGGTTTTCTAACGAGTACCGGGTTGGACACCCACTCAGAGTATTCCACTCTCTTGATGAAGCCTGCTTGCTTTTGTATCTCTTCATCTATAGCAGCCTACTTCTCAGGGCTAAAAAGGCGATGTTTCTGCACCACCAGCCTTTTGGTGGGGTCTATGCTGAGTTTGTGGACTGTCAACTCTGCTGGGATGCCAAGCATTTCATTCGTAGTCCATGCAAACACATCTTGATTAACCCTCAAGAACTCTAGGAGCTTTGCTTGTTCTTCTTCTATGAGCTTGGTGCCGATCTTAACCATCATTTCTGGCACATCAGGGTTTAAGGGGACCGTTTCCACCAGTTCTACCAGCTCAGCCTTCTGCTCGACACCTTCAGGTCGATGTTCGATATCTGATATGCTCATTGTTTGCTAACCGAGTTTGGTTGGCCTGTGATTTTCAGAACCTGCAGGGGCAGCAGTGAGCTCAACCTTTTTAAAAGTATCTTGGTAGCAGGCTCTGGCCATCTTTTGATTCCCTTTAAGCACTCCTACCCCTTGAGGAGTTGGGAATTTCATACAGAGATGGGGTTGCGAGATGACAGCCTTCAGCTCACAAAAAGTGGCTCTTCCCAGTATAGCGTTAAAAGTTGACTCCATCTTGACGACCAGAAAGGTAACGGAAGCCATCTTGAACGGTGGCTTCGAGCCCACATAGATGGGAAGAGTAATGACTCCTTCAATCGGGGGCTGATTGTCAAACCTATATATAGGCCCTTCGTGTTTCTGCAGCGAGCTCGGATTCAGCTGCATTTTTTAGAAGCAACTCCAGTACAAGATATCTGGTGAACTACCAATATCAATGAAGACCTTGTTGATGTTATGGTTGCCTATATGAACCGTTGCCACGAAAGGGTCTGCATGTGGCATCATAACGTCGGGCTCTCCGTCTACTCACTTATAGTCTGTCGGGCTAAATGTGATGGGTGCACTTTCCCATTCTGCTTCTTCAAACGGGCGTTTCAAAGGCCTATTTTTATTAATAGTCATCACATGGTGTGCATACGCTTTGCGACCTCAGGCACTTTGGCCTTTGGAGTGAATACCACCTGATATCATATTTATTGTACCAGAGGGCGAGGGTATCCGAACGTAACCTACCCCTTTCCTATCTTTTTGGTTCTAGGCGGCAGTTCTTTGTCCTTGTCCTCGCCTATTGAACTGACATCCCCTGCACACTCTGCCCTGCTCAGAATGATACTAACTATCCTGATACACATCTTGTGTGCTGCCGAGCTGATACCTTTGCACCTGAGGTCGGTCATACCCTTACACAAAGTGAGTCTGAGATAGTTGCTGAGTATAAGCCTTCTGCACATATCCTTCTAATTTCCCATTGCGAGCTAAGAACTCCAGCTCGTCCTTCAAGTGTTGGCAGTCTTCTGTATTGTGACCATAAGCACGGTGGTAGTCACAATGCTTGCTCTTATCTGCCCTCGGGGAATCATGTAGTGGGGGTGGGGGTCTTCTAACCCAGTGTTGGATTTGTGCCAGGATTTGTGCTAGGATTTGAGACCTTGGCAAGGTTAAAGGAATGTAGTTGGTGTACTTTGGGAAGTCAGCGGGCTTCCCCCACTGCTCGTTGACTTTCTGCTTTTTCTTTTGTTCTCTTCTCGGTGGTTGTTCTTGGCTTTTGCCCTGCTTATCGTCAGCTCACCGCTTGGATGACTGGAAGTCTTCTGACAGTATGAAGCTAGCCGACCTGTCATTCACTTCGTTCCACGTCTTCGGTGGGTTTTCTAGCAGGTCATCTAGGAACTGACCACGCTTCAAACCATGCAGCAAGGCAGACAAGCAGATAGTATCTGGGATGTTATCAATATTTAAAGTGGCTTTGTTGAATCGTTGCATATAGTCCCTCAGAGATTCCCCTTCTTTCTGATGAACTTGCCTCAGCTCGGTCGCTGTGCGTTTAATCTCCCTCTGGCTCGCAAATTTGCTGGAGAACAGCTTGGCGAGCTGGGAATATGAGTCTATAAAATGTCTGGGGAGTTTGTGATACCATGTTCTGGCTGTTGACTTCAGTGTCGCTAGGAACACTTTGCACATCATGGCATCATTGGCATTTTGGATTCTCATGATGGCTTGATAGGTGTGCAGATGCTCATCTGGGTTGCCTAAGCCATCATATGTCTCCAGGTGGGGAATTTTGAATCCCTCTTGATATGGTTCCGCTGTGATGGATAAGTTTAGTGGAGCATTATCCAAATCAAGGGTTTGTTGGTGCGATCTGGTACTTTTCAACTCGTCAATGGATTTTTGTACATCCCGCAGCTGTCTTTCAAGGTCTGCATTCTTTCTTATCAGTTCTTCACTATGTTTGGACGAGCTAGGCTCGTTGTTCAACCTCCCACTTCCCCTTGGTTTGGTTGGCACTACTATATTGCTCAGAGTGGGGGAGTTTCGAGTGGCAACAACCGCAGCTGGTTGTGCATCCCTATTCAACAAAGGAATCAGGGGGTCATCAGGGATTAGGCGAGCAAGGATTTTACCCATTGCCATTTCGAGAACTCTGGTTCTCTCTTCGAGCTCGGTTGTCCAAGCAGGTTCTATTGACCTTTTAGGTCATTCATGCTGTGAATTATATGGTCTAGAATGTCTTTGCCTTGTTCCTGTTGGAACTTGGAACTGTTCAGGCTGAGTTGCATACCCAGTTGGTGTTCTTTCATCATCATCTGTTTCACTTAGTTGATCCTGTTCTGCTCCTCCAACGAAAAGGTTCCTTGGCATTGGCCTAAAGTCATTCAAGCTGGGCTCAGATAGTTGAGTGTCCTCCTGTTCGTCTATTTGGTTTCTTGGAGGGCGATTTTTGGTAAAAGTATGAACCATTTTGTCTTTCAGCTAGTTAAGCTACACAACTTCTTGTTCAGTTTCCCATAGATGGCGCCAAATGTTTGGGCAACTTCGTAATCCAACACTATTGAAGTCCTCAGCTGCTTCTACACCTGAAAATCCGGATGATGTTTCCTCGGGGAAAACACTCCGACGCTCAAGTCAGCAATTCTCAATGTTCTAGAGTGAGATGCTCTCAAAGAGTAATTGCATATAGAGAAGCGTAGAGATTAATTACCTTCTTCGGAGGTAGTTGGGGGGTATTTATAGCCCCAAGTGCTGACATGCATCTGTACATGTAAGCTTCTCATTGGCCCACGTTTTACTGCCCACGTGGGCATGTCTCATCACTTTGGGCCAGTGGATATGTGATTGGGCCTGCAGCATGTGGCCCGAAATGGGTGTTGGGCCTAATCCCAACATAGGGTAATCAAGGTTGTTCTGTTGACACCATTCCATAATAAGCTAATGTGATATTAATGAGATTATGCCTAGGAAGAAACTCTAGCCATTGTGGTCATTAGCACAAAAGGAAGAAATTCAAACTGCAATTTGCCCATGTTAACTGATGCATGAATAATAATATCACTTTTCTTAGTCTATATTCTTTCTCAATCTCTTGAGGAAGGGACCAATGCTGCATTGGATCAAGTATAAACCCTTATCTTCCTCCACATCAGCCAACCAGTCCCACCCCCTGATGAATTCTTGTACCGAACTCTAAGAACTCTATTGCCTGAGATGCCTTCAACAATAATTAGATTAGGCTTTATTAGATGGGGGTGGGAGTGGAGGTGAGGCAGTTTGATTCTGATTAATTAGTAATTTAGTATTATCATGTTCCTGCACGGTTTGAAGATGAAAGAAATATCTAGGAGAAAGTGATTCTTTTTTCAAGCCTTTGACCTTCATGGGTTAACTACTTGGAATTTGCTTTCCTGACATTATTATTAGTATATAATATCATGAAAGTATCATTCCTGATTGTTGCAAAGGCATAATTTTCATATAAATATTTTAGGAAATATCCTTCCCTAATGCTACTAACCGAGGCCGAAAGTGTTTGAGTTTTATTCTAATACTGTTCAAAGTTGTACGGCCACTTCAGGTTGCTGAATACAATCTAGTTAAAACATGTCAGCATCAAACAAATCATGGGAAGGATTTTTTCTTATCCGAACAAATATCTGAAGGAACTTCTTCTTTTGATCCATTTTCCATTGTTTATTGCTTCCTGTTATGATTAAATAAATGCAATCCATGACTCTCTCCCAACCCTTATAAATAAGAGGAGATGAAGTCATAGAGTCCACCAAAGCAAGCTTCCTACTGCAAACGCTTCTCACTTGTCTAGCTTTTTCTTCTATTGTAGATCAAAGTTGTTGGAATTATTGCTAGAAACGTGGCAATCAAATTTGCAGAAATGAAGAAATGAAACTGCCATGAAATGGCAGCAATGAGGCTGGAAATTGACAGCAAATGAAGCTGCAATTTGACAGCAAATATGGCAGCAATTTAGCTGCAAATATGGTGAAAATGAAGCTGTAAAATGACAGCAACAATGTGCAGCAAGCTGAGCTGCAATGTTGATGAAATGAGGTCGAAATGAGGCTGAAATGAGGCTGCAACGGGCAGCAAATGCAAACAGCAAATGAAATGCACATGAAATGCAAATGCAAACTCAAATGCAAATGAAATGAAAGCTGCAAAGTGGCTGAAGAGTAACAGCAAGCATGCGGGAAAAGTGGCTATTATTGTTCAAATTTAAAATGTACTTTATTGTTTTTTAATGTAGAAAGTTGTTTGAATTTTGAATTAAGATTATATTCTCCTATATATAGGAGAGTTTATTAATGAGAAAAGGTGAGTTGAAGTGATATACTTCTTTCCATCTCAGCTTATGCTCTGTTTTTCATCTTCCTCTCGGTTCTCTCCATTTCTTTGTTTTAAAAAACCAACAAAAGTTTCAACTTTTTCTTCAATCTTCTCACACTTCAATTCGAACTTCTTTTTTTGATTGGCTTCATTACTAGAGAGTTCTTGGTTCCTCATACAGATTTCCTTCATTTCTTAGCAAAGCATGTACATATGGACAGGATTAGAGATCTTGCATCAAAGAAGGCTCTAGTGATATTCAGCAAGACCTCATTTTGCTTGTGCCACAGCGTCAAGTCTCTTTTTTATGAACTACGTGCTAGCCCTGCAATTCATGAGCTTGACTAAGATCCCAATGGGAGAGAAATGAAGTGAGCACTTTGGGGGGCTAGGGTGCAATCCCTCAGTCCCCGCTGTGTTTATAGGCGGAAAATTTGTAGGCTCAGCTAAAGATGTCATATCCCTCCAGCTAAAGATGATGATATGATCATTTTATTGTTTGGGATTGCCATTGGTTTAACATGAAGGATACCAGAAGCCAGCAAGAACTCATGAAACAGACCTAATTCATAAGCTTTAAATGTTATATGCTGTTCAAAAAAAAAGAAAAAAAAAGCTTTAAATGATATATCTATTGGGCTAATGTGTAGTACCCACCTTGTTCTGATTATTTTGTGGAAACTAATTGATATATATTCTAATTTAACATATTGTGTTATATATTTATTAAAAAAATTATTATTTTTCAGTATAAAATTAAAAGCAAACAAATTTAAAGGTACAAATATGCATATAAAATGCAAAAATTGCATAAATTAATTGTACTTATATTATATTTTTAATGACTGAATTAGATAAATATAAGAAAATGTATCAAATGTGTACTAATGATTTTTTTTTATTAAAAATAAGATTCCTCTTTTGCAATTTAGATTGCAAAATATGATTACTGGACATGGAAACACCCCTAATATCTAAAGGCTTGCTCCATTCAATAGCTTAAATTGTGCAATTTAATATAGTTCATATGATACATCATTTTTTTAATAAAAATTTAAAATATATGTCTTCTAGAAAAAAAAAATTAAAATTCTTAACATTAGAATTGATCACACATTGATATATAGAAAAATAAAGTAATAATGAGATGTCACTTTATTATCCCTAAGAAAACTTCCTCTCCCACGAATTTGAATCATTGGTGATTGCTATATATGATCCACTGCAATCTCCTTTTCCTCTAATGATGATAACATCATGTTTCTGCGCATAATTGTGAGGCTTTCGATGTAATATTTCTTGAGTCTTGAGTAAGCCATGGAGGACAAATCGGCAGGTAAGGTTCTCAATATAAAATTAAGAGCATAAACATGGAGTCATCTTTCATATATAAACCGGCTTCAAATAGAGCTAATTTTGGAGCTGGTTTATATATGGAAGATGGCTCCATATTTATGCTCTTTTTGAGAGCCTTACCTGCCCAAATAGAACCAAGTGTCATTTACTTAGGATCATGACTTGGGTAAGTTTGTGTGCAACATATTTATATCCACTTCTTTACTAGGTCAAAGTCAAAGTTATCCATTAACAAGAGTTTAATTGAGTAAGTATTCATTAATATAAAAATATCTTGGTTTATAGGTTAAGATTAGGTGTTCAAACTCTTAAAAAAATATAAAATAAAAAAATAAAAAGACAAGTCATCCATACTAAAATTAAAAAATTCAAGAATGATATTATTTCCTATGCCATCACTAAAAGATTGAATTCCTAATCAATAAAGTGGGGTAGACGTCTTTAAAGGCCCTTTAATATCATATTTTTCATGATATGTTCACATTTTTCTTGATCTTTTCTCCCTTACAAAGGAGAGAGATTGAGTTGAGATGATGTACTAGTGTCTGTGAGAGAATATCAACTTCGGTGGATGAATCTCCAAAGATCACGGTGATCTCAGCATCACAATTCACAGAGATGTGGATTTAAATGATGTTCCTAAATAGCAGCTTCTACAAATTTTCTTCTCTTTCTTTTCTCTTGTATGAGAAGAAAAGTTTAGACCGCTAACATCGATCTGCATTCTGCAATGTGGCTTGTCTAGTTGCAAAGCAGCAAAATTCTGTGCAACATTGTTATCTGGAATTCTGGATTTCACCATTCTGGACAAAGACAAAGTTATTCGCCCGAATCTATTTCATCAAAATTGACCATCATTTTAATCCAATCAATGTCACCAAATTGCACCAAGAGGATGCTCCTCCTCTTGCTCTGCACCACGTCCACCACGCATTTCACCACCCACCACGCACTTCACTGTTCCACATCATGTTGCAACACATGTTTTTTTGTTTTTGGCATTAGCGAGGGACTATCACTTTCACATTATGATATTCTGCTTCAAGTTCTGTCTTTGATCCTCAGATAGCTTTTGCATTTTACAAATTTTTGGTTCATATCCACGTGCCAGATTACCACACCCTTATATGATAAAAAGACAGTCGAGATTTTAAAAGATTTCATATCCAAATCATGCCATCTTTGCAAAGCTTGAGCACCAGGAGAAAGAAGAGTTAGATAAACGTTTGTAATTTGACCATTTGTTGCAAAAACTTGGCAATGTCAATCCCCGATCCATTAGTTTGAACGATACCAACCAATAGGAGATAAACATAAATAATGAATCAACTAGCATCAATCACATGCGTAGTTTTGTAATTTAACTTAGAGTTTGTCACTTATTCTCTCAAGAGATCATAATAAAGTAAATATCGATACAGATAGGAATCTACCGCTGGTGATTTGAAGTTACCTATGCGATCACATTTGGGACCACAGAATTATAGTGCTCGCCAAGACCAAAGGCATGCCTATGGTATGATAACATAACAGAACCTTTGAATGAAGAAGACCCTCCTTCAGCTTTGTATTCCTTTCCCATCTCCACATCAGGGAAGGATCCTGAAAATATCATGATATGTTTTCTTAGGCTGCGAGTTAAAGCTTCCAGCTCTAACTGTCCTCCCCAAGCAGCTGTTGACTCCACCTCTTTACAGTAATGCTCAAATCTCTCTGCTGGTGAGTTTCCAGCATCTTCGTCTGCCAAATTCTCGGCCAGGAAAAAGGGAAGGAAATCAGACATGTTTTTCCTCATATAAGCAGCCACCAGTTCACGTAGCTCTTGGTATGTATAAGGAGAAGAACCACCTGACAGAAGTGCCAGTTGATCTTCAACAGCTCGGTAGAGGCAATGTCCATCTGGCTTTATTTCGTTGATCGTCAATCCAAGGGGTTCAAGTTTTTTCACCAATTTCTCATCTTCAATCATTCTCTCACTCACAATGTTGCTCCGCTCTTCTTGAATTCTTTGCTCTCTTGCAGCTTCTTGCTGAGCTCTTTTCTCTCGTCTCTTTGCACTCTTGCTGGGCTTTGAATGGTCAGGCTGACTGGCAACAGAAACCCCAGCAATGGCCTTCACCAAGTTGTCAATACTGTTTTTCTCATTTTCATTACTAGTGCTGTATCCTAATGAAGCAAGCTCTTGGGCATGCTTTTCTTTAAGCTTAGCAGAGAGTTGAGAGATCTCTTCCTCAACCTGCTTCTTTTTAGCCTTTTGCTCAGCTTTGCTACCCTTCGCTGCTGCCTTCTTCATTTCAATTTCCTTCTTCTGCAGATTAGATATCTCTTTCCTGCATACAAATAATGTCATTGATGGACAGCAACATTAAAGTCTTAGGATCTGTAATTGGAGGTTTGAAGAAACATGAAAAAAAATTAAAATCATTAAATGAGTAAATAAAGCAGTTAGGCACTAGAGATCAAACATGATGCAAGCTTCATATTAACAAGCAGATCAAGCATTCAACTAAATTAATTCAGGGCAGACAATATCATTCAAATTGCTTGTCTCAAATATTAGCAAGGGAAATTAGCAAGGTTTTAGAAGTAAAGCTCAGCCTTATTTTTTCTTCATATTGAACCCTCTTTTCTCTAGCACAACCACAACATTATAGCAAACAGAATTAAAAATTTAATCAAACATTAAGATGCCCTAGTTGCTTAACTGTCCAAAGCCATCAATAAAATGAAGGAATCAGTAGTTGATAACATAGACTTGAGGACATCTTACCTGTGCCTAGATAGCACTTCATCACGAGTTTCCTGTTTTTGAGATGGATTTGACAAAGTAGCTTCTGATTGTTTGTCAGCTGTTTCTTGATCATCGGCCATTTGAGCAACCCTAAAATCAAACGACATGAAAGTGTGGAGGAAATGGAAACTATAAATCAGGACATAAACCATATGTACTAAAAAGAGAAAAGAACAATTCAATCACACAGCCATGTGAGTAACTAAAACTATATAAATCTATAATTTGGCACTAATTATTCAAATGTCAGCTGAAAGGACACAGCTAAACAACTGTCTTTCATTTGTAGAACCCCCTTTTTCTATCCATCTAACTTTGACATGAATAACCACGCCAATTAAACATTTTCTTTCCTCCAAACACATATTGTGGGATCACTGCTCTGCTCACATTAGAACCAGAACATCTAACAGCTAAACAATAAACCCAGTACATAAAGCTTGCATTTTTTAGTTTTTTATTTATTTCCAATTAAGCATTTTTTATTCTCTGAAAACCTATCAATCATCAACCTTAATAGTTATCAGTGCTTAAAAATAGCCAACAAAGAGGAAACAATCCAAGGATTGCATTGTTAAGACGATATGCTGAAACTTCAAATCAATCCATTTTTTGTATTGTCAATCTCAAAATAGCTATGAATTAAATGTTAACACAGAAAAAGAGCATCTGGGTCTAATCTACAGAAAGCCAACTTAATTCATAACAAATTTCAAACATCTAAATAAACAACATCCAACTGTTCAAAATAACAATTGCATTAAATACTCATATTAATACAAAATCTATAGAAATCATCTAAAGACGGCAACATGAACTTGAAACTAAAATCCAACATCCCTTTACTCCTTTGATTTTCTTGTTAATTTTCCCCTAAACTTAAAACATGCTAATTGTGCCTAATGATGAATAAAAAAAATCCTTTTTTCTGAGCCGGAATTGAGTTTTATAGAAGGAAATTCCTTTCCTTTTGCTTCGTTTTACCAGACAAAATGATGAGTAAGAAGCAAATTCAGAAAAAGACATAAAATTGCTTTAAAAAGAAAAAAGAGAGAAAAGAAAGATGGAGAGAGCAAACCTTTTAGAGAGGAGGAGAGACGGAGAAGCAGAAACTCGGAAAGGGTTTCAGATTGGGGTTTACGCGCGTAAGACCTACAAAAAGGCATATTCCGGTTTCTTCTCAGTAATAAGGATACAAACTTACAAGTTTTTTTTATGCAAGGATAAAAACTTTTTTTGTTTCTAAGCAAGGATCTTAGAAAATGGGCTGTGAAAGAGGAATTTTGCAAATCTGAGCGTGTGGCCCAACATTATGGCCCAACAAAATAATTTTAGCCCATAACTAAAGAGAAACACTTTCGAAATTCAATCATTGCAAAATATTAAAATCCTTTATATAATTACAAATAAGTATTTTGTGATATGCTGATCATCCCACTCTGTTCTAGTGGCATAAATCCTGAATTAGAATCGTTCATTTCATATGAATCGCTTATTTAAGCCCTATAGAATCTCTTCCTTCTTCCCCTAATTAATATATAAATAATTTCAATATATTTAAAATATATATATTCTATAGTATTCTAGGTATAGCACTATACAATTTAAATTATTAAATAATAAAAAATAAATTTAGAATATTAAGTATCATCTCCTCGTTCAAAGATTTTTTTTTTCTTTTTGAACCCTAGCCAACCTTTTTTTCTTTCACTTTGAATTTTTCTCTCTATTATTTTTGTTTTTCTCCCTCATGGCCTCTACTCCTCTCTCCCTTAGTTGATAAGGTAGATGGTTAAAAATGAAAGTTCATGGGAGTTTTCTCCCTTTTTGTAGAAGTTTTTCCCTTTTCTTTTTTTCTCTTAAGGTTTTTTTCTCTTAGTTGATAAGTTAATTTAATTTTAGTAAAAGTTTTAGTTACTACAAGTTTACAAGTAATATAATGGTAAGAATCAAGTGTCTTTGGGCAGAGATTATAAATTAATTAAATATCAAAATTAATTAATTTTAATTTTATTTAAACAATTAAAATTAAATGATTTTGATGAATTAATTAACTAAACTAATTAAAAGAAAAAAATAAACTAAATTGACTTTAAGTGCTATCAAGAGATAAATTTTAAAACATTTGATTTTATCATAATTAACTAATATAAAATTTAGATTCATATACTTTTAATGTCTTTTCTACTCATGTGACAGTGAAATTTCTTATTCTATTTAATATATTTTTTCAAGTTATATTAAATTTATTTTTATCTATTAATTCACTCTATCTTTATATGAATTTAAAAAGATAAATATGTATTATATTCTACAAAATTCACTAGTCTATATAGAAAATTAAATCTACTTATTACAAATATTGTATGAATCACATTACTCTACTTTTTGCTTTTATTCAATTCATGGTATATATTATTAAAAGTTACTGTATAAAATCTTATTTTAACATCAATTATACTCTCCAAATCAGTGTTAATGATGGCTGATCCTTAAAAAACATTAAAAATGATAATATATATTCTACAACAAATAATAAACTTTAAAAGTATAAAAATTACAAAATTCTAGATTAAATTGACTAAGGTATATCAAAGGTTTAGATTGGTAAATTAATTCATAATAAAATAAATTAAGGAAAATCAAATATTCTAGGATAATTAAAGAATATTTGACATTATAAAGTAAAATTTTGAGAACAAATAAAATTAATTTAATATTATAAAATCTTAAGTTTTAATCTTTTGTTAATATTGAGTTCTTTGTTGTTGTCCGTCTCTTAGTCTCCATAGAAAAGCTTTCAAATCTAATTTTGAATGAGTATTTATAGAATTTAAGAAACTTAATTTAAAAAAAAATATGATCAGCGACAAAAACAGGAACTTTAAAGCTGAAAGGGCGTTTTCTGTCGACACAAGAATGTAGGTGTCGGCACTTTTGTTTATTTTACCTGCGAAGCGGCTTAATGCATGGTGTGGATGCCTCCCAACTGCTATCAACACCAAACTCGTGTCGGTTTTTAGATCATTTTGTAATTTCCTTAACAGTTAAATAGCAAATCTGGTTCTTCATCTTTTATGTGAAGAGCACTTTGATCCCGTACTTCAAATTCGTTTATTTAGGTCCCAGGACACAACCTTTCTTCTTCCTTATTCAGTCCCTCAATTTTTAAAATATATTCAGTTAAGTCTAGAAACTTTTTTTGGTGTGCATTCAAGTTTTTTTACGCACAAAGAATGAAAATTGTGTAAATTTTATTAAAAATCACATCTTATTCATCAAAATAGCAACAAAATCAAGGCTAAATATTATATTAAAGAATATAAAATGTGTTTTATCATTATTTTTATCAGGATTTGTTCTTGTCAGAAAAGAATGACAACTTGATCACGATTTTGGTTAAACTTAAATTAGTTGTTGTGCTCATTTCAATTGTTGAAGGTATGATTGGGGATGAGTCCTTAGCTAAAATTTTTCTATCCTAGAACTAATTTCTCTTTTGTCTAGATGGATTATACTAAAATTGGTTTAATTGCTAAATTTCAAGATCAAGTTGGTTATGATATTCAAGTATTAGATTATTTGATTTTGCATTTTCACACATTTTATGATGTAATCTCTAGTGTGGTACCACATGGCTGAATGGAAGTTAATGGGCCATTTTTTTCTCGCCATCAAACTCACCACCAACATTAACCATAAAAATTGAAAAATCAAAGAAAACTTGGATCTATAGAAGAGTAAAGAAAAAAGAATCCATCCCTCATCTCCTTTGTTTCCTTCCTTCACTAGAACTTCAAAGTTCAAATCCCTACTTTCAAATTCAAAGCCCTAACCATAAAAATTCTTGGGTTCTACATGGAGAACTCCTATTTACAAATCAATTCAATAATAAATTTTTAAGGTTTCTGCCTGTCAAAGAAGAAAGGATGCAAATAAAAATTTGTAGGTTAGATTCACCTAGAATTTGTTGACATGTTTGGCAATGAATGGAGGTGTCATTTAGACGAGTGGGTTGCTTAAGGTTGAAAACAATATCAATGGTGTTATCTGGTCTAGACAGTAATAGGAGGTAGCGAATTTGGAGGTTGATAAAAGCGAGACAAAAGTCACCAAAAAAAGGGGCTGCCATAGGCACGAGGGCTGCTACAAGCATGAGGAAAAAGGAAGAAAGAGGAATTAAAGGTGACTAGTTTTGCAATTTGGGTGAAGAAGGGGAGAGGGTAGATGAAAATTCATTTAGAGGGTGGATTTGTTAATTAATCCAAAATTAAAAATAATTTTGTTATTTAAGTTATTTTACCTTACATTGCCAATATTTTTTGTCATGTCATTTGTTTACCCATGCTATCAATCCTATGTATAAAAAATTTGGAACATGTTATGCCTTTTTCATTAATTAATGAGCTACATCAACAAAATGTTAATAGAAGGACCAAAAAAGTGCCAAAATCTCAAACTTTAGGGATTAAACTAAAGATTTTTTAAGTTGAGGGAACCAAATTAAGATTCTGTATAATAGTTGAGAGATTAAATTAGGAGTTTAACCTATTTTTTATGAATTAGCAAATTGGAATGGGCAATTGAAATTCTCTACAATATTTTCTCTTTTTCCAAGTGATATTCCTAGTTATCCCATATATATATGATGTCTCGTAGATCCACATAATTACTTATCCTCCATTAAGGTCTGTTTTCTCAAAAAAAAAAAAAAGTCATTTGGACACAAGAAAAGGAGGGGGGGGGGGTAAAAGCAGGGTTTTGACTCATTAGCTCTATAAATGTGATGATAAATTGAAAGGTCAAGTTCTAACTCACGCCCTCACTAAAACACTAAGGACTGAGAGTAATTCACCCTCCATTAAACATACCCATCGTTACCTGTCCTTTTAAAGGCGTAACAAAAATTCTTGCCTCATGTCACAGCTGAGTTTTCTTTTTCTTGATCAAGAATTGTGGAGTTAGAAGATATATTGTGGAATCTCTAAAGATTTCAGCGTGTCCATTGACCATTGAACCAATAAGAATTGATTGACAGGTTTCTGACACTTAAGTTTCTGCTTGACATTCCTTCTCATCCATTTTGAAAGCTTCCTTTTTATGATGCTCTTACTGTTTGTGGATATCCATGGACCAGGGAAAAGAATAGCCTACCCAAAAATGCATGAAAAAGTAATTTCGCCACTTCATGGAGAAAGATACCATGCTGTGTCGTTCAAGCATGATCAGCCCTAAAGAAGTTCATTTGTTCTTGTTGATGAACCATGTATGAGATGCACATAAAACCTGAATGCATGATGAGGTTATAGATTTTTCCATGACTAATGAATTAATTCCATGAAAATTTGTTTGTGAGTGCGTGGCTAGTTCTCGGGCTCAAACTTCTCTGTGAAGGATTCCTGCAGAGTTTGAGAGACGGTGAAGAACAAAGGGAGGAAGATGCAGCCTATCCCTAATCAAGATTCGGCTTTTCTTTTTGAGGCAAAGTAGGTACTTCTCTTTTTTGATTCTTTTTATCAATTAGAGAGTTGATGCCACAACAGCATTGGCTTTCCTATCTTCCCAAGGATCATTTTCCATGTATTTGGTAGGGATAAGTTCAAAAGATTCCTTAACTCCCCTGCAGTTGACAGTGCAGGGTAATCAAGATTGTTTTGTTGACACCAATCCATGATAAACTAATGCGATATTAATGAGATTATCCCTAGGGAGAAACTCTGACCATTGTGGTTATTAGCACAAAAGGAAGAAATTCAAACCGCAATTAGCAAAGTTATTAATACCATTTCGTACCGACTGGTATAATTGGTATATATTGATTTTTTCATTAATTCGAGATGGTATAAGATCAAATTTCATTTCAATCAAATTTCATTCAATTTGATCAAATTTTGACATACCTATTAATATTTCCGCATACCGGTGGATATATAAAAAATGTGTCGGTAGAAATCAATTCAAACTGAAAAATGTGTCAGTACAAATCAATTCAAATTTGAAAATGTGCCAGTACAAAGCAATTCAAATTTGAAAAGAGTAAATTCTATTTTTGGTCCTTAACTTTAATGTTTTACATAATTTTTATCTTTTAATTTTTTTTATATATTTTTTTGGTGCATTAACTATGACAAATGTATTTTTTTAGTCTTTTTATCAATTACTCTGTTAAATTTGTTTAAATATGCACATTTAATGTTCAAAAAAAAAAGAAAAAAATTATGAATATTTTATAAAATTAGTCATTTTAAACTTGTTTTCAATTTATAGGAATATGATGGTTTTAAACATTAGTTTCTCTTATCCGTATTTTCAAATTTGATATTTAATTTATCAAAATATATGTTTATAACGATAAGTCTAAAACGAAACGTGAAAAATTCCAATATTTGGTACACACCGTTCCAATAACAAAATTGATACATATACCGATACGGTATTGACAACTTTGGCGATTAACCCACGTTAACTGATGCATGAATAATAATGTCACTTTTCTCAGTCTATATTCTTTTTGAATCTCTTGAGGAAGGGACCAATGCTGCATTGGATAAACCCTTATCTTCCTCCACATCAGCCAACCAGTCCCACCCCCTGATGAATTCCTGTACCCCCTGATGAATTCCACATCACAAATGAGGCATGATAATACCAAAGTCTATCGCCTGAGATGCCTTCAACAATAATTAGATTAGGCTTTATTAGATTGGGGTGGGAGTGGAGGTGAGGCACTTTTATTCTGATTAATTAGTAATTTAGTATTATCATGTTCCTGCACGGTTTGAAGATGAAAGAAATGTCTAGGAGAAAGTGATTCTTTTTTCAAGCCTTTGACCTTCCCAGGTTAACTGCTTGGAATTTGCTTTCCTGACACTATTATTAGTATATAATATCATGAAAGTATCATTCCTGCCTGTTGCAAAGGCATAATTTTCCTATAAATATTTTAGGAAATATCCTCCCCTAATGCTACCAACCGAGGCCGAAAGTGTTTGATTTTTATTCTAATACTGTTCAAAGTTGTACGGCCACTTCAGGTTGCTGAATGCTATCTCGTTAAAACATGTCAGCATCAAACAAATCATGGGAAGGATTTTTTCTTATCCGAACAAATATCTGAAGGAACTTCTTCTTCTTATCCATTTTCCATTGTTTATTGCTTCCTGTTATGATTAAATAAATGCAATCCATTACTCTCTCCCTACCCTTATAAATAAGAGGACATGAAATCATAGAGTCCACCAAAGCAAGCTTCCTACTGCAAACGCTTCTCACTTGTCTAGCTTTTTCTTCTATTGCAGATCAAAGTTTTAACTTTTTCTTCAGTCTTCACCACGCACTTCATTTCGAGCTTCTTTTATTGATTGGCTTCATCACTAGAGAGTTCTTGGTTCTTCATACAGATTTCCTTCATTTCTTAGCAAAGCTTGTACAAATGGACAGGATTAGAGATCTTGCATCCAAGAAGGCTGCGGTGATATTCAGCAAGACCTCATGTTGCATGTGCCACAGCATCAAGTCTCTTTTTTATGAACTTGGTGCTAGCCCTGCAATTCATGAGCTTGACCAAGATCCCAATGGGAGAGAAATGGAGTGGGCACTTCGGGGGCTAGGGTGCAATCCCTCAGTCCCCGCTGTGTTCATAGGTGGAAAATTTGTAGGCTCAGCTAAAGACGTTATATCCCTCCATGTAGATGGATCTCTCAAACAAATGCTCATGGATGCAAAGGCTATCTGGTTCTAGCAAACAAAAAAGAAAAACTATCCCCAAGCTGCATTAGTAATTGTAGTGGCAGCTATATGATAATAGCTCTAATACTGTGTCAAAATAAGCATGTATTAAGGGCTTTGCTTTTTCTTGAGTTCCTTGAGTACATTCAACATTGTCTTTTTTTTGGCCAACTTCAGTGTGTTGTCTTTTGAAAAAGAAAAAAACACTCAATGAGAATGGCTTAAATAGTTTATATACTGTCTTAGACAATTTAATGCCTGCTATCATATCATTCCATTGGGATATGAAAATATAATTCAAAACAGAATGGATTTTTGAGCTTTTAACTTTTTAGGGTTTTTTCCCATTTGAAACGAAGATAGAAGATGCATTACCTTAAATAAGGATCCGCCATCAGACACTCTTGATAAAGAATTCCTACTAGAGAATATTGAATGGAATTCCTTTCGTGCCAACCTAAACTGTTGATCCTATGTTTTTGGCCCAACAAAAAAAAAAAAAAAAAACCCTAAACTGTTGCAGAATAAATCCTATCCACTGACAAAAAGTGACCTCCCCCCTCTCTATGATGAAGTAAGAATTCCATTAGCACCATTTATCAGATATGAAATGCTCTTTCTTATTAAGGTGTTTAATTTTAGGACAGAAATCAAAATTTCATTGGTTGGTTCCTCACTTTCTAGCAGTGCTTGTACAGATTGTAAAACAGATATCAGACACCTCTTAGTAAGTCACTTGTGAGCACCAAAAAGAATATTATACCAATCTGTGTGATATTGTGTGATTATCTAAGGATGGGACAAAAAAGTGATGCTGCATCTTTTCATGCTTCCCCTCTGCTCCTCCTTATTCAATAAGCAAAATCCTTTTTGTTGTATTAGGCATAGATTAAGAATGGTCCATCCTAGATGCACATGCATTCATTGGCATACATGGATTCTCATCCTCATGCATGCAACAGATTCATGCATCCTAAATCAGATATATCAGCATTACCTGCTTGATTGACACTTGGATGCTATGAAGCCTCAGTGATGGTTAATATTTATATATTCTTTGCAGTTAGATGGCTTTGAGGAAAACCTTTTCTTATCTTTAATTTGGGGGGGTGGGGTTAGAGTTATGCACGTGGAAGGCTTTTGCATACTCACCCACACATGTGAGTGCAGCACTACTCTGTATTAAGAAATTAGCTTGGTAGTGCTCATGTGTGTAGGGAGGAATCTGTCATACAAGTTGGTGGGCACAACAGAAACAGAAAGAATAGCAGCCACCGAAAGCGATCGCATTTGCAATATCAGTCTAAATCTTTCTTTATAAGGGATCAAAGAAGTTGATCACGAGAATTTGGTATAAATTGACTGGCCTTGAAGAATTTTCTACCTTTTTTTTTTGTGTCTTTATGTAGAATATAATTCATCCCCACAAAATCTGCAGAAGGCCAAAAGGGATCATCAGTAAGCCGCAATATCAGTTATGTTAATCCTGCAACTTGGTTATTGTTTTAGACCATTTATTATTTTGAATAGAGTAAGAAATCAATCTTCATATCAGATGATAATAAGCTTGTAATGATCACCTGTTCCTAAATTTTTATGTAATTTGGGCAGGAAATTTTGTTTTCATACTTGTTCAGCCATTGGGAACATAGTGTCTTTATTCCCTAAAAGTTACTTTGTTAGTTTTGGCATCTAAGTGAAAGCAACCCCTCTTTTGAATGTTTTTGTTCAAACAAAGCAGTCCACCCTATGCTGTTCCTATAAATACTCTAACACGAGGACTCAAATTCAAAAATCCTCAAGCTCTGAACTCTTTCCTCTCTTTCTCTTCACCTGGTCCAACCCTCTAGTAGCACTGGATCGAATTCAACAAATTCAGCTTGAATTCGACCTGATGCTTTAAGTGAATTTGATAGGTAACCTTGGGACATCTCTGAATCTGCATTTCTTTGTCCTGTGTTACTTTCTATCCTCGTTACAGAATCCCACAAAAAACTAAGAAGTCATTCTATCAGGATTCATCATGGACAAGGTGACGAGGCTGGCCTCAGAGAAAGGAGTTGTAATATTCAGCAAGAGCTCATGTTGCCTGTGTTATGCAGTCAACATTCTATTTCACGAGCTTGGGGTGAACCCCATAGTTCATGAGATTGACCAAGACCCTGAAGGCAGGGAAATGGAGAAAGCTCTCATGAGGATGGGGTGTAACGCGCCAGTACCAGCTGTGTTCATTGGTGGAAAGCTGGTTGGCTCAACCAATGAAGTCATGTCCATGCATCTAAGTGGACAACTTACCCCTATGCTGAAGCCTTATATCAGGCTTTGTGCTGAAATAAGTACCCGTGAGGAAGAATAAAATTGGCTTAAATTAGCCATCTAGTGAGCTGTGTATTGTGTAGCTTGAGTAGTTTTATGTCTAGTGTGTAATATCTCTCTGTTTATTATTAATGGAATTAGCATTAATTATATATCTCTTCTGTCTATCAGATATCTCAGTGTTCTTTATCCGGAAAAACCATGTATGGCATTTAGGCAGTGAATTCTTTATGGTGTAAAAACCATACACAAAATCGAAGAGCATCTTGTTGTTGCTCCGTCTCTGGATTGCTGCTGATGGACCTCTCCCTCGTATCTGAAGCCAGTATGCTTTCTTTATTATGTAAAAACGAAACACAAAATCGAAGAGAAATCTTTTTGTTGCTCCATCTCTGGATTGCTATTGATGGATCTCTCCCTTATATCTGAAGCCAGTATGCTTTCTTTATGATGTAAAAAAGAAACACAAAATCGAAGAGAAATCTTGTTGTTGCTCCATCTCTGGATTGCTATTGATGGATCTCTCCTTTGTATCTGAAGCCAGTATGCTTTCTTTATGATGTTAAAACGAAACACAAAATCGAAGAGAAATCTTGTTGTTGCTCCATCTCTGGATTGCTATTGATAGATCTCTCCCTTGTTTCTGAAGCCAATATGCTATCTTTCATTTAAATGTTACATTCATAGCCCTGTAAGAGCTTACAGTAACACATGCCCATGACAAAATGATCGGCTATTATAATCGATGCATCGTGTTGATATTTTATTCCACATGATCAGTCATTTAGTATGGGAATCCTAAGAAGAATAACTTCAAAGGAACTAGTTCTCTATGATTTAAAAATACGAACGGCTTAACATAAAAGAACTTTTCGAATATCAAAAGCTTGATTTGGTGGAATCTAGCCAAAGCAGAGATTTTTGGAAAGGATAGAGAAGATAAATTTTGATGTGTTCTAACTTTTTACTTCCTGTTGCATTCTCCCACATTCAAAAAAGTGTAAATGGGAAATTCTTAACCTTTTTTTTAGTTGTTTGCAGCCATTGATTCTTTTGCCTTATCATGGATAAAGAAAAGAATTGCATTCCTTTTCCTTTTCCTTTTCCTCTATAATCTAATTTACTTTTGTTCTTTTTTTCTGATGCAGCATTCGAGTTGTGGTTGATATATCTTCATCAAAGCTTACAGCTTAAACTTTGTAAAATCTAAACGATGTACACCAGATAAGATCTTGATAGCATCTTCATGAGTGCCACAGTCTAAAGCAATTTTTTTTCTTCAATGCATGGGCCTACTAGAAAATAAAGAGAATGATTTTCAACCAAGTTTTGATGAGAAAATGTCCTTGTTACAGGTCGGAAACAAACCAGAAATTATAGTCATCCTGCATGGAAGGTACAGTTTGAACTCCTGTTTATGCATGACGGGTAAACATATTTAGTTTGAACTGGACTTCTAAAAATCATGAGGCTTCATGCATACATTTCTGAATAGGACAACATTGATTCATACAAGCACTGAAATTCTGGAAGGATTCGTCCACTCTCTCCCTAATCTAGAAAAGATTATATTGTCTTTTCTAACTGAATTAATTAATTCAATGGCCAAAAAACATTTCAGATATTGCATTCCTCTCTAACATTGTCGAGAGCAGACTCCTTTATTTTTATGGAGACAAGCATATGCATGATATTAATGAAGTAAAAGAGCAAAATCATCATGCTGAAATGCTGAGCCAGAAATCACGCAATGTTGAAACGGTGCAACTTTCTGACAGTGAAGCTTTGTCGTCAGTCTTATAAATCAACCTCTGCCAGTGTTGCGGCCTTTGCATTGTTTTGATCAGAGAGGAGAGGACACACCAAATGACTTCCTTATTGTATTTTAAAGTATACCTGCTGTACCTTGTTTCATGCACTAACATGAAAATCTTATTCTGATATATATTCCAATATTAGCTTTCTTTTGATCAAATGTAGTCCATTTCCTATTATAAGAGAAAAAAATGCAGATTATTGCCAAAACTAAACATAGTTAAGTTAAGCTAGTAATTTTTTTTTTCCTATATTATCAATGATGCCTAAATTCATACATATCACATTCACTAAGCAAAGCGAAGAACAAAAGGAATAAAAGAATAGGATCTTTTGTACATATAAAGCTTGTTTTGAACCAAACACTTTCGATCCCTTCAATCTACCTTTCTCCACCCCTTCTCCCTTTATCACCGAAGGCAATCGTGGGTGTCACAATCGACTTCTTCTCAACATGTACAATATATTCTTTGCTTTGCTTTGCAGAAATGCATGGACACAAAATGGACCAAATATATATTTCGATATATTCCATGAAAATGACAGACTGATACATGATACTCAACAGGACAAACCACAAATTTTCCACACACATAAAGAAGAAGAAGAAGAAGAAAAAGCACTCCAAATGATTGAACACGAAAGAAAATCAAAATATTAAAGAGTAAAGTATTTCAAATTGTTAGGTTGTTGAGTCGGTAAAATCTTGCACGAGAACTAATATCAAATCTCGTCCTAAAGAATTTTTTATTATTGGAGTAAAAAACCAAAGTACAGGAGAATGACTGTAATGGCCTCCACTTTCCTCTTTGTTTATTATTTTTTTTATAATAACCTCTCAATTTTTTAAAACTAGATTTGATCTCAATTAATGTAGGATAAAAATCGAACTAGATCTAAAAAAAAAAACTTATTTATAAGATTCGAATTTAAAATTTTATTTTAAAAAATTAAAATTTTATTTTAAAAAATTAAAATTTTTTTATTCAAATCAATAAATCATTAATTTTATTTTTTATTGTGAACCCTCGTCAATCTTCTTCTTAGCTAATTATAGAACGACACGGTTGAACACACCGTGAGCTGGTTTGACGTGGCAAGCAAAGAATAGGAATTAGGATGCGAAATTGCGAACCAAATTTCTACTTTATGGCTCGTAAGTCTTTGTGATGTAACCTGCATAAAAATAAGAAACTAAACTTCTTACTTACTTATTTATTTTTTTATTTAGTATTTGGACTTTTGCATTCAGTAATGTTATGTTACGTATAAGTGTATTATCCTATTTTTAGGACAACAGTTTGAATCCGGTCCTTTATGAATTTGCTCAAAAAAATATAATTTTTTTTATTTAAATCAATAAATTATTAATTTTTCTTTTTTTATTGTAAACACTAACAATGTTCTTCTTAGCTAATTGTAGAACGACACAGTTAAACACATTTTGAGCTGGTTTGATGTGGCAAGCAATGAACGGGAAAGTTCCAGACCCTTATGTAGGTCCCATCACAGAGAATTAGGACCCATAAAGTAGAAATTCGGTCCGCAATTTCGCATCCTAATTCCCACAGCAAAATTAAGAGGAAGGAAGTTCTAAAATAATGAAAAAAAAATTAATTATTAACCAAACAACAACCAAAAACTTCTCTTTATTAATAATTATTAATAAGGTTGTTGTACTATAATTTAAATTATTTTAATTTGTAAAATAAGAGTTTTTTAATAAAAAAAAACTAATATTACAAAATTTTATCTCCTTATAATTTAAAATAATTTAAATCATAAAATAATTTTTTATTAATATATAAAAAACTTTTGTTTTAATAGTTTTTTTTTCATACAGGCTATATAAATAAAATGTAGTTAAATTATTGAAATTACTAAATAGGATTCCAGGCAATGTATTTGACCTTTGAACTTAGGGAAGGTCCCGCTATTCCTAATTTACTCAGAGGACCTACCTCCAACGAAATCAAGTTTTCTTGTTCAGAGGAAGTATCTTTCAGCTTCCTCTATCTGGTTGAAGGACTTGGGATCTTGTCCATGCCATCCTAATTCCTACCGCAAAATTAAGAGGAAGGAAAATTTAAAATTTGGAGAAAATTCATTGTCAAATAAACAAATAAGAATATTTCATTTTCTGTGACTTTGGTATCTTAACTAAAGTGTTAATAAATTTATATAAAGATGATGAACACCGAATTTATGCATTTTATATTATAGTGATTAACACTTATTTTTTCATCTATTTACATGGTGATCATTCTTATATAATTCTTGTAATTCCTACTATTCTTTTAATTTGATATAGGATTTATAACTTGTATGAAAAATATATGAAAGAAAGAAAAAGAATAAAATTCTTTAAAGTTTCTGTCTCTGATTGTATCTTTACATTTCATACTTCTTCTATTTGTCTATATATATATATATATATTTTTTTTTTTTATAGTAAAAATTGGTTAGAGGTATTGTTAGTATCTGTTAGTGGAGAAGTTTGAACTGCTGAAAGGGTGCAGACCATCTGCTACGTAAGGGCAGCATGGTCGCTTGGGTCACATGGGGGTCTGCTTTTATTTGTCTATATCTTTATTTTACAATAACAACAAAGAAAACTTCTCTTTCCAAAATGTTTTTCAATATAGTTGCATTAAAAAGTGAAATTTAGGTATTAAAATTACCAAAAATCCTTAATGAAACCTTGAGGAAAATCAAAATGTCTTGTTAATTAAATTGTCATAATTAATATTAAAAAAATTAAAAATGCTTAATAA